ACAACTTGTTTTCATGTGACTTATTCGCCGAAGCGAAGATCGACTGTAATTTATAAAACTGGCTCGTGTTGGGCAAAGATAAAGTTATGGTATTTGACTAAATGTGCACAATTTGCCATGGCACTGACAACAATGGTGGCAGCAATAACAATAATGTAAACGGGTCAAATAACACTGAAAAGATGGGCACTGAAATAAATCATGCGACAGTCACTCATATAATAAGCGCCAACAATCAAAAATGTAAGTCAGAAATCAGCTGGGTTACTTTCTGTTCTGTGGTACCTTCCACCATCCAGCAAGCAGGTTCTTGGTACTGTCAGTTTACATTTTGTCAGCTGAGATAACTTCAAGAAGGCGGAACCAGGGTTATCGCTGCTGAAGATTTAGAGTGGTAGTAGTGCTGGAAGCGTCGCTAGCAACGGTTTTCACTGAGAATAAGAAGGGGTAGAGTCAGCGCACATCACGTTGGACTCATCAATTCTGAGAGACCAATTAGTAATGCTACCTGAATCACTCCGATCTCATTTCCAGTCCTCTTTCTCGCAAACCCAATCTTTTACGATCTGATCCAGTCCGCACAGAGAGACGGAGCAACCACGGAAAGCAGAATGGCTTAGATTCAATCAGATTGACAAATTCTTTTGACCCCCTACAGGCTGATACCATAATTCCGTCTTCATTAATTTCCCCATGGTCAGTATGACCTTCGGAATAAACGCTCTCCGGTGAAGGGTACCAGACTGTAGTAACAAAGGGCCATTAGCTGAGGATGAAATGTCCCCATCAGTCTATTAGCTTAAGGACAATGGGTCGTGCACGAGATCTAGTGCGACGAGAAGGATTCTGATTAATTACCAAATAGGTGTGAAGCAAACTTAGTGCAACTGTCAGTAGTTACGGATGCTACAAATGTGGATCGGTAATTCTGAAGAAAATCCACTAGCACTGTTTTCGGTATGATTTTGGTAACTGGTGTAGGCACAACGAGCCTGGTATCTGTGAATTCAGAAGAACAAGTTGATAAGACCGTCATATTGCGCAGCTGACAGAGTGAGAATTAAGGCTGAAAAGCGTTCCTTAAACTGAGTATATATTCCGTTGACATTATCTTCGCCCTCCATCCCATTTTATATATCATTGCGAATTCGGTTGAATTATATTTGCAGGTACATCCAGATGACGAGTCTTAAATAGGACGAAATGCGCATCCTGGATTCCACTGCTAGTCACCATCCACCAATTAAATAAGCATTAAGTCAAAGTCAGATATGAACCATCACATACAGGCCAGGGGAAAATGGTAATAATTACGTTATTTGAATATTCAAAGAAACATCAATATTTTTAGTAGTCGGTTCAGCAGAGACCTTCGAATTACTTATTCTGTTACATTACACGCAAGCTAGTGCATTCATTTTGAGATTTTTCATAATTTCTGAACTTTCTCCTCATAAGTATGCACAGTTTTTAAACTTCGTTCACCGATGCAAACTTGATCAGTATTTCCATTATGGATAAGATTTTATTTTGATAAATCACACAGTGTTGTACAGTAATATTAAGTGATGACTTTTCGAGCACAAACTATTGCTCATAAATACATCAAGTTACTCACACAACTTTTTTCCTTCACAAGAATGCGTCGGTTTTCTAATAGATATTTAGATTTTAATTCGTCTTATCCGTTAACTGTTAAGGCAGGCTTAGTTAAGTGTCTAACAAACCGAGCCATAGCACTAAGTAGCACAAAAAAAGACCTAGACGACGAAATAAAACAGATAGAAGAAGCGTTGGTTTTGAATAACTATCCTATAAAATTCATTAGGAAGATAACTAAAGGCTAAAAACAAAATAAAAATAATTGTGGAACTAGTAATGATAACATAAATAAGAGAGAATATAAGTCATCCACTGTAATACCATATGAGGAGGGGACATCTGAGACCCTACGTAGGATTCTTAATAAAGCAGGAATTAGGGTGGCATTCAAACCAACAAACTCACTCAGGGACAAGCTCTGTAGGTTAAAGGACCCTGTTGACCCAATTAAACAAAATAATATAATTTACAAAATACCCTGCAGTGACTGTGAAGTCAGTTACATAGGTCTAACTAGTAGGTCAGGAGTAGTCAGATTGTCAGAACATAAGAATTTAGCTAAGGGAAGAATGGTTGACCCTGAAAAGATAAGTAATTTAGAAAAAAGCTCAGCAGTTGCACTTCATGCATTAACAAACAACCACACAATAAGATGGGACAGGGTTAAAATTGTAAAGAGTAACATAGGTAGGTGGAGAGAGAGGTTGATTACGGAATCCTTGTTCATTGAGTCTACACCCAATACATGCAACAGAAATGACTCAATGCAAATACCAGAAATATGAAAGATATTATTACCGCCGGTCAAATCAGAAGAGAATAATAAATGATCTTAATATTCTATTTCAATACAAGCACATCAAAACATTCTAACAAGTAACTTATTATGACTATAGAAACACTCGTCTTTTTCCTATCTAATTGTAATTGATCAATAACACTCGTATTATTATTTCTGAATGTACATTATCTCATATTGAATTTTATTCCAACATCTAATCGATTCCACACATGTATATAAATGAAGGAAAAAAGTTGTGTGAGTAACTTGATATGATTATGAGCAATAGTTTGTGCTCGAAAAGTCATCACTTAATATTAATATAATATAATATAATATATATTTCCTATCAATGTAGGACACACCAGTTGTACAGGCATGGATAAGTATTATTTAAATTACATGAATTTGATTTATAGTGAAATTACATGGTTGCTGTCCTCTCTGATATCAGTTAGTGAGCACATTCTGATAGTTAGTCGTTCAATGGAGCACATAAAGAAATATAGAAATATTGTCTTCGCATTAACAAAAAAAACCCAAGTACGTGTCGGATAAATTACAAATATTTGGGAAAAAAATAAAGCTTGAAGTCAATTCCTCCATATAACTTTGTTGTGTGCGGCATCGTATCTTGTTTTATGTTCAAATTGTGTATTAATTTAAAATGAGTGATTAATTTTTATGATTTTGACATCATTTTTTTGCAAGTAATACCAGATGTGAATTCAACTGAATGCAGATTAATATTGGTCATTACTGTACAACACTGTGTGATTTATCAAAATAAAATCTTATCTATAATGGAGTTATGCTCTGCCACAGTGCCCAAGTTGTATACTTACATCAATAATACATTTACAAGAAATAGTTCATGGGAATTTGAGTAGTCTCAAGGTTGATCGAGGAATTATATCACTTAGAAAACTGTTGGAAACCAGGGGGTATTGGACACTGACAGAAACTCGAATAAATGGACACTACATCCCTATTCAATTGGCTGATTGGTCAGCAAGCTTGGCCTCGTAGCATGATGGTCATGGATATAGACCTCGGTAAGGTCGTGAGTGCGTACCGCCATAGTCTCCCCTATTGTACATCAGACACTAGACCCTCCATAGATTTCTTTTCAAAGCTCACCTAGGTGATTCGTATGAAAGATTCTGATCTTTTTGCCCAATAGTCTGATGTGCAAATTACAATGGTGTTTGTTGTGACGGTATATATTGTGCACGGCCTTACTCACTCTAACTCATTTACTGGAACGGCCTTGCTACTGTTTGCCAAGTGAGAAAAGAATACTACTTAAAGAATGTTTGGGAAAACCTGTTCACCGAGTGAGGGTAGTCCAGGCTGTGCTAACTGAGCTTGCCAGATATGTTGGTCAGGTTAAAATCACTAATGTTATTTCCAGTGTCAGTTAACATATAAACTAGCTCATAAAAATCCAAACGACGACAGTAGAGGAACTATCCAAGATTATTGCCCCTAAAGGTGGCACGAAAACGAGGAAGATATCTAGGTAACGACTCATTAGACTGTCTTAATGAGAACTCACCTTGCTTGAAAATTATGATAGTAGTTGACGTGCCGCAGCTGCCATGGGGAATAAACCACAACAAGCGGGTAAGATGTTACTAACCCTGAGGTGAAGCAAGTGTAGAACAATCTCATTATGAAACTATTCATCATCTCAAATTACTTGGCCGCCATGACACGGTGCATTTCTTGTCGATTTGTCTGGATATCCAAGATATTCTCTGCCCAATGTTACTTTAATAAATTTATTAACATATCCGGTAGCATCATTACATCCAGAAGAAAATGAGAGTATTTAAGTAAGGAACCCTCCAAATGAGATAGATATTTCGCTAGACCACTGGCATAGTAAGTGGCTTAATTCATAAAATCAGCTAATTACATTTAGGCAACGTTTAGTCCAAACATTGGGAAAATTACTTGCAATCAACGTAAAAGGGACATGTTACAAGTCAGATGGAAATTCTTTACCAGTCAGTTCATTGAAATGATTATATGAGTTTTAGGATGAAGTCGTATCATCTTGTAAGTTTCAAGAAACAGCCGTTTCAATCAACTCATGTAATTTTTCTTAGAACGGCCTTAACACTGCTGACTGTCTGACTGTGTTTAGATATAAATAAGGGAAGCCCGTAGAACGCCGTATGTCATTTGATCGGGTGATGTCTACACACTACACTTATTGAAATAACCTAAACATTTGGTAAGTATTCGTTGTATTACACACTTATATGCTTGTATTCCTGCTAAAAGCCATGCATACAACCGACCGGATAAAACACTCCTCGGAATTATGAACTTCACCAAGCACCTAAATAGAGTTAGAAATTATTAAAACTCTAGTGACAAACTGATCAATCATTAGCGACTATATCATTTGTTCATCTCACTCGCGGGCGTGTGAAATTACGTCCTTCGACAGGCTGTTATATATAAGCAGTAATTTACTGTTTTTATAAATTTAATTTTCAATTTTATACATAAAATGGAAACCTTTAAGATAGTTTGTCTAGTGCCTTTAGGTACGGAAACCAGTTAAGCGTCAGTGTTAATAATTCACGAGTTCATTGAAATTCGACAATGACCTCGGATTATTTCAAAAAGACTTGACACAGTGTTGCGTAAGTTGTTTTGCCGAAGGAAATCTTAGAGAATCAATACATTATAAGGATTAAAATAAATTCCAACTTCTGACTATTATTTCACCTAATTATTTGAGTCTTTCATACACAAGCTTACAGTGATCCCAAGCAAATCTTAGCTGTGTGTATACACAAAAAATTAAAAAAAAGAATTTTCGGGCGCATAGCAGCATGTTCGGAGCTGGCTTAGGGGCCTTGTCCCACGGTCCGCTGTGCGCCCGAAGAAAATGCTTGTTGGAATGTAATGCAGTCGAAGATGAAGTTAAAAAGTAGCGATCCAAGAACACCAATTATCTACAACACTTTCTTATGGAGTTACTGAAAACAGGTAGAAACCGCCATATTTACGAAGGTATGCTGTAAATGGGCAAGGCTGTTAGATAGGGCACCTTCCTTCATACTAATCTTTCTTCAGTGTTGGTGCTTAACGATCTTTCCCTTCTTTCGTCTAACTTAGCCGGGTTGATACAATTGTCCGGTTATAGGTTATTCACGCGTTTAACCCTTTGGATCCCTATTCCTTGACTTTGCCCACTCAAATACCAAACTGATGTATTTTTGCAGAAAAAATTAGTATTGTCTGTTACAGAAAGATAATTTTGTTTAATTTGAGGTAATTTCAAGGCTTTTAGAGCAGGCTTAGTGTTTTTGGGGAGATCTTAAAGCATTTCGACTAGTTTTGGGGCTTTGAAGAAAATTATCGGTTTTTCGATGCGTTTTCGTCAGATTTATTACACTAAGCTTCATTAAAATTCCTGAGTTTCTCAGGACTGATAGAAATTTCTAAAGTTGTGTCTAGAGTTGCGTCCAAAGAATACATGAAGTCAGAGAAAGTGGAGTAAATTTTTGTTAGTATTGGTGGACTGCATCAGGATACCATCCCGCACGCTGTGGTAATGTCACCACAGGTCAGCGAATTACCTGAGATTCTGAATGCATTCATTGTTACATGCATGTTGTATTATTATTTGTTAGTTTATTAATAATGTCCTGAGTAGTTTATATAGATCAGTTTAAATGAGCTGACCGGATGGTCTAATCATTGCAAACTGGAAGGAATACTAGAGGAAGTGGATTAATTCATCCTGGACAGCAATCTAACCCGAATTACTTCTTAGGGAGGACAGAAGTGATGTTATAGAAGAAAAGTATTCGGGAACTGTTGCAATTTGCAACTTAAAATATACTAAACATTGTAATTCAGCCAAGGTTCGATCGAAAACGACGCTTTGTTAAACCTTTAAATACTCAAGTAACGATATGCTCAGTGCTACTTTTCCTGACGTATGTTAGACTTCAACAATGCATACAGACTTATAGTCCATGCTTCCGAAGGAGGTGTTAGATTAGTTAATAGAATTTCAAACCTTACCAGGAGACGATAGAGCCTTTAAACCTTTTGTCTTTGTTATAACGTGGGTGGGAAGATGACCTTACTTTTTGTATGGCAGATTAAGTGGTGACGTACTGACCTCTAAAATCTTTGCATCTTTCTAGGACACTTCTTAGAAGTCATCATAAGACTGTATGTAATTTGCAATCAAGTAAGAAACGGTGGAATTTGAGATTGTCGCATATAGTAGTTAACTCATTGCCAGACAAGATAGTGTCTGCTCTACTGCTGAATTCTTTAAAAAATGAAATTTGATCTTTACGAAGCATATACGACAAGGATTAACAAAGACTACTTCTTGCCTACTATTGCGTGTGCTTGAATATTAACTCAGGCTTCTTAACCCACCTAATATATTAATGTAATAATAGGTTTTGGATAGTGTCATTACATGTACTTCTATTTTATCAAGACTGACTGACTGGTTTCAGCTCAAAACTTTGCACAAATGTGCGGTAGTTCAAGTTGCTACACTCCATGTAGCACACAAAGCAAGAGAAGAGAGTGAAGAGGGATTCTAAAGAGAGGATAATGTTGAAGTTAAAGTATCATAGCTAAAGTCACGGTCTTCCAAAAGTTAACCTCCAAGAACCGATTAGATACAGGGAATGCTATGGCATGTCATTCCAAATCAAATCATGTCTCCCTTTTTGAACTTGTAGAGGGTAGATAGTGTTCTACTTATTTACTAGGTACTTTTTCTGCAAATTTATGCTATCAGGTAGGGTTACGGCTTTTTAGATTAAGGTTTAGCGTCTAGGGTTAAGGTTAGGTTTAGGGTTAAAGTTAGGGTTAGGATTATGGTCATAGTAAGGGCAGGTTCAAGAATAGTGTCAGAAATATCAATGGATCTCAAAGTACCATGACCTACAGTCACTTGGATGAATGGTACAGTTTCTCTATAGATCATCTGTGAAATGACTGGGAGACATTCATACAACACAAGCTACAACTCTATAGTGTAAAATCATGCTTGCAATATTTTTTAGTGTATTTTTCAGAGATTATGCTACTTTTTTCCATGTGAATTCTGATTGGTTGTTCAAGGCCACTGTGGTTTTGGCTATAATAGTTTAACTTTGCCGAGATAAACAGAAATGGGGCAAAAATAATAATATGGAAGAACAATGGAATTTTATTGGATATTTAAAATCACAAAGAGTGAATGCATTTGCACCATTGAGAACAATTTTAATCCATGTCACCAATTGCCTCCAGCCATTGGTTTTTACCGTCCCGAGGACCCCAACCAGTCAGGAAGTCTACACATTCCTACGTGCTGGCTTAAACTAACTGTTATGGATTCCATTGACTGATGAATCCATATTTTGGTTTGACCACCACTAGCTCTTTTCCAACCTGATCCAATGTCAGCTAATATTGCCCGTCAAGGAAGGCGATGACTAGGCATGCGTAACACATGTCCTAACCATCTCTGTCAGTCAGTGTGACTTCACAACCTCGTCGATTGATTTTCCGTCCTTACCTAGCACTCAACGCCTAACATCTATTGCTCACCCTATTATACCACTTCACGCTGGAGATAGAACGCAGGCACCCATGGTCAAAGACAGCTAGCCTTTTCATGTCTTCCACTCTCAATGGCCAGGTCTCACAGCCATAAAGGAGGACGGAGCGGACTGCTGAGCAGTACACCCGCCCTTTGGTTGATAGCCGGATATCACGTCTATGCCAGAGATGGTGTAAACTGGCATATGCGAAACGAGCCTTCTGTATCCGTGCTGAGATTTCGTCAGCGATCAACCCGCTGAGGCTGATGCCACTTCCAAATAAGTGAAGTGATCAACACGCTGTACCATTTCACTCCCTATCTTTAAGCTAGGAGTCGATGTAGTGCAGTCCACTCCTGTAGCATCACCTTACATTTGACAGGAGCGAATCATATGCCAAATATTCGAGGATTGCTGCTCAAGGTGTTCAGAAGACTGCATTTTGTCAACGTCTTCACCTAGAAGGACTATATCGTCTGCATATTCTAAGTCAACGAGATTATTCCCTGGTAACAAGTCAATCCCTGAGTCGCTGAAGTCAGTTAGGGTTAAGTCAATTAGTACATCTATATTGAAATTAAACTGAAATAGGGACAGAGGGCATCTCTGAGAAGAACCACTGGTTGTCATCACTTCAGATGACAACTCTCCGTAGGCTCTCACCTGGCTGGCTGCATGAGTTCGAATACAGTGCCTTGATCAGGTTTTATTAAGACGTTTCCCAAGTCTCAAGAATCAGATTTTTTTGATAGAGTAACTCATCCAAACAGGCAGGTCGAGTTTCTGTATGAACTAATGATTTGCGTAATCCCAATTGATACTCTTATAGGCTTTATGTGTGTGTATGCAGTGAATAGTTTGATGAGGCAGTATACTTGGCTGACACTTTCAAAATAGTCATGCAATGTCACTACAGAAAACTCAGTAAAATCGTTTTCTGTAAAAGGATGGTATGTTTAGGAGCGAAAAGTGTGCGTATACTGTAGTGTTTAATATAATATTAAGATTGTATGTACTGTCACCTAATGAGTTACTCCCAGAGTTGTTCCAGTAGGTATTGGTATTAACTGTTGTGATCATCTATCGGCGTCATTTTGACTTGCCCATAATAATTCTCATGACTTAGCAGTTTTCATCCACTGTACTTCACGGCTTTTGATACCAGGCCACTAGGTTCCACCAATTCGATTTTTATAGGTATAAAATGGAGTAACTATGGCTTCTGCTATTGTTTTAATCAAAGATATATAGCGTTGTACTGTCCTCGAGATTGTAGTCTGTCTGTGATATCGTAGTCCTATAAAAAAAGGCCGGCTAGTATCTCTAAAAGTTATAATTCTCTGTCCCATCTGCAAGTAAAACATATCTAGCCATATGCAGCTGAAATATCGAAAACGGATCCAATTATGTAGTTTTCGTTCTGTTAACTGTCATAGTAAATTTCATGAAATAGTCGGTTTTACATCACTTCCATTCCACTTAAAACGCAGTTTTGCGGTGTATACTGTAAATTTTTCAATTTTCCAGAATGAATGAAAGAGGAATTCCTATGCTACCGCCCAGGTGGCTGAAGTGTCCACGTATGGGAGACATGATATTGGATATTTTTATTCCATTCAAGACCCCTCTGGACAATAAATTTGATCATGTCATAGATCCAGAAGATATCTTTCACGTGGATGATACATTCAAAACTGCGGAACCAGTAAAGTTCTCTAATCCATATGAATCCTTGTTTTCAGTACAAACTTGGTCTCATTATCGACCTAACTAAATCTCGCAGATTTTATAATCGACGAGAGATAACTGACAACAATTGTAAATACTTGAAGATAGAATGTAAAGGAAACGAAGAAAGACCGACACCAGAACAAGTGAATCTTTTCATTCAAGTTGTTAATCAATTTCTCGATAGCAATCCTGGAAATCAAAAAATAGGTATGTTTATCTCATTTGCCCTAATTTTGTATTCAGGTGTGCATTGTACTCATGGGTTTAACAGAACTGGATTCATGATTGCTGCCTATCTTGTGGAAGAGCTAAATTATGGGTAGGTTTAACATTTTTGTCATTTCGTTTTAGCGTAGACATAGCAGTTCAGATATTTTCCGATGCAAGACCTCCTGGAATTTACAAAGCAGATTACTTAGAAGATCTGTTCAATCGTTATGGATGCATTGAAGATTGTCCACAAGCACCGTCACTTCCGGAATGGTGTTTAGGTAAAATGTCCGAAATGTAATAATATTGTACTAATATAGAAGTGCTCTGCATTTTATTCATGTTATTGTACTTTGTGGTAAATAGAAAGCAAGAATAAACGTCAACAGCAACTTATTGTGATCATTTAACATAAGCACACGTGTATTAGCCAAAGAAACTGGTAACAACAATGTTATACACAGATAGTGGTACTAAGAATCGTGGGAAGTTGCTATGATTTCAATGGAACATCTCTCTGTAGACTAAAATTTTGGCACAAATCCTAAAGACAATTTTTAATAATAGAAAATATCCACAAGACATTCTTGTTATTGATTCATTTTGTTGATGGATGCTTCTCAGCTTTCATCATGTTGAGGGGGATGCCTTAAACCAGATATCAGCGTGTTTGTGTATCGAAATAATAAAATATTAAGCTTGTCCAATCCTGTCGACTAGTCTTTTTCTTACTACTGTTTGAATATCCAGGATGAATTCTGGGATTTGTATTATGTGATTAACTCGATGAACGTGGTAGCGATAGCATAATAACAGTTGACCCGTAATAGTAAAAAAGTAATCACAGTTGTTTTCGCCTGCAGTTATTAGAACACAGACACACTTAATTACGACAATTTCAATTACGGTGTCTGGCTTACCAGAATTTTTTCTAGGTTTCAAACTTAAGTGGTTCCAAAAACCAACTGTGGTGACCGTACACAATTGGCGTAAGTAGTTTTGATTATTTTTCATATCACTTTAAAACGTCTATAAAATAGTGTGACTGAAATATGCTTTCCTAATTTATTTTAGAGGATGGACAGTCCAGTTCAAATAAACTATTGAAAAGGAGCAATGATGAGACACATGCAAATTATAGCGACGAGGAGGCAGCTTCATCATCGAAGATATTACGTCGAAATAGTAATACAGATGAAACAATAACCTTTAATTCTATTCCAAGCAGAAATTTTCCCCCACCGCCTCCAGGAAATCCTGATTTAATGGAGGGTGTGTCCAAAGTTGATGTTTTGGACCAAGATAGCCCAGAAGCACACGAAGCACGCGACTTGGCAGACAAGTTGTGCAAAATTGGTGGTTTTGTGTATATAGACGGCCAGATGTTTCCTGCCACAGAGTCGGCATCCGATAATGAACAAGACCCTAATAATACAGAGGAAGATGCTCAAAATCATAAAACACCTAAAGTATCTAAAAGGCCTTTGCGCTTTAAAGGTAGTCAGCCAGTTTCCATATCACAGAGAAATGTGGCAGCGCTGGTCAACTGTGATTACTGTGTAACCTACAAGGCGGATGGGACGCGTTATCTTTTGCTCATAATGGGTCCAGGTCGTGTCTATCTTATTGACCGTGGTAATTTTGTTTATAAACCAAATGTTTTGCACTTCCCAACTGTATCATGGGTTCGTGAGAACGGAAAGCGTGATCCTCTTGCAGGTTCTCAAGCCTTTTTAAGTGATCCTGATGGCCACTTGGTAAATACGCTTCTGGATGGAGAGATGATTCTTTGTCACGACCAATCTAAACCTCCTAATATTTCCACTTCAGAAGTATCTGGAACTCCCAGATTCCTGATTTACGATATGGTCGCCTTGAACAACAAACCAATCGGACGACTCCCATTTTTTGAACGTTACTCTGCAATTGACAAACAAATCATATGGCCTAGAAATACTGGTGGTCACCTGGGACTTGTTGACTTTAGTGCACAGTCTTTTTCTGTTCGAAGGAAAGCATTTCGGGCTCTGCAAGATACCGAAGAGGTAAGTTGCTTATACAAGAATGACTTAATAAGTATAAAGGTATTTATGTTATTTCTGGGTCTGGAAGACCATAATACAACTGAAGTATTTCATATCAGGTTTACTGGACAGCTAACTTTTACTCATGTTAGCTGACGAAGTTCCAATTTTAAACTTTAATCAAGCCCTATATATTTTCTTCTCTTATTTTCCCTCTTATAAATTTTTCTGTTTGTTTATATTTAGTGCTCCATTCACATCTAATGCGTATAATATAGCTTAAGCAGTCTTCTGAAATCGCGCTGTATGCTTCAGAGTAGAAATCCCCGTATTATAGATTCGAGTAACAGTTCTCCACCTACCTCAGCCTGGGAAACTGAGTGCTGTCACCGGTCCTCACCCAATGAGTATGTGTCATGGTCCGGTACATGAACTGGGTTTAAAAAATATTCATGAATCCACAATTGAAAATGTATGCTATGTCGAAAATAAATAGGCGTTTCTAATCAATGAGCTAAATCATATAAAGGCACATAGTTTAAACTTATGAATGCATATTGGCAACACCTATAAAACCTCACGAACATTGTGGATTAAAGTTGGTTCATAGGCTGGGTTGCTAGCAGAGAGAGGGTTTCCCCTAGTTCTTTGCAACTTCTTTACAGATATTATCAACATAAGACGTAAGACTATTGCTTATTAACCCAACTAGCCAGGTTTCATAACTGAACGTCCAGTAATAGGTGAAGCGAGTAGAAATACTGTAATTAAAAGTCACAGAGTACGAGACAAAATAAGCAGGTCAAAGACAGGATGTGACTGATAGAAAAATGAAATATGAATGGACCTTCTCTACCGCAACCGATTTGAGCTACGCATAGTTTCTCTTTATTGTGTGTGATGAAACCGTCTTCAAAAGAGATGCCTCAAAACTGGAGACATTGGTGTAGTCACCAACACTATGTTTCTTCGTAAACCTCTGCCTATAGTCTTATACCATAAATTTCTTGTGTGTGTTCTATTTCTGTTCCAACAAGTTTGATTTCCCAATTCTCTTTACGCGGATTTTACTCTGATGTGCTTATGTAATGTATATAAATCCCTACTACTCTACAATCTTGCAGTGTTGTTTTGAATAGATTCATCGGTTAGTGGGAATTTGTAGACTCCGTTTGAATAAATAGGCATGATTGAAGAGTAGCTCAAAGTTTTAGGCAAGTAATAGCTCTCTATTGGCCTTCAAGTTCTAATATTCCTAAGTATTGTGTTATATTTTCAGCTACTCAAACCTGCTTTTCTTCAAAGTTTGGACCATGCAACTGATGGTCTCATATTTCAACCTTGTGGTCCTGAAGATTTTTATATTCTCGGAACTTGTCCTCAGACGCTGAAATGGAAACCGCCAAATATGAACTCTATCGATTTCAGATGCAAAGTAGAATTTCAGCGGAAAGTTGGGTAAGACTATAACTATATTCTTGACCTAACATAATGTATAAATCCAGGGTCATTATGTAAAGATTCCGAGCGACAACTACGTGCACTAAAACACATCTAAGAAGTGTTGAATAGTGTTTTATTCACTCCTAGCTAACATATTTGATCGGTGTATGCAGTTGATGACTCTGGTTTGCTGACTAGTGGAGGTGATTTTGCACGAAAGGTTGTTAGCCGACAAACAAATTTACTGGGTCGTCGAATAACTGCTGTAAAAAGTTTTTTGAATACCTCACTCCTGCACATAATAGTAAGGAAACATCCACACGATTCTGCAAGATTTGAAACTCTTAACGAGAATCTCTATCCTTCACACTTTTAGGTAAACTCATCACATAGTTGTGTGAAAATACAGCTTAACCTTAGTAACTTACACAGTTCAGTGTATCCGTCAGCATACAGGTGTAATTAACGTGACGGATAAATCAACTGTGATAGTTCAACTAAGCGCACATATTCGATTCATGATCACTGTTTTTGACGGGTTTTCAAAAAAAATGTCCTTACATAATGAGTAATCACAGCGTTTATCATCAGACCAGTGTTTCGCAGATGGTTGTCATTTCTATACCTCACACATTTTAGATATGACCAGCTATTTTAACATTATAAAGCAGAGTTAACCGCCGTAATCCACAGTTTACTTACAGTCTCACTAGTGAAGAACGTGTCTGACCTAATAGTTCAATTAAATTTGTGATGCGACGATACTGACTTCACGTTGTCTGCTTTAGTCGCCAATCTTTAACATGGGACAGATGAAACGAAGTAATATCTTTTTTCTACAAAACATCTCCATTTATACCAGACATTTTTATTAAAGTCCTAAACAACCAAATGTTAGGGATGTACTGCACTTTCGGTCCAGTGTATCTATGATCTAGTAATCTTGAGTCGTTATTCGGACGTGTATTTATAGACCTACGCACACAAAAACGAAATTAACCAGTCACTATACGCCTTTTTGTGGTTTTGTAAAGTCGATAAAGTTAAAGTGTGGGATAGCGAGTTATATTTGTGGCACACTTGCGATAATATATTTAAAACAGGAACCGGAGTTGTTATCATGTGGGGGTGTTTATTGATGAGATGAAAACGTTACTCTATGGTTTGAACTGTAGACAAAAAGCTTGGTATGCGCGAATCTTGTGCAAACGGTAATTTTGATAAACCAGTTAATTTATGTGTATTGTTTGTGGTTTGCTGCTACTTGATAAAACTCATACTAGTCTTCATTTGGTTTCAGGGAAATTCCCGGTTATGTTGGTTATCTATTTCTTGGTGGCCTCACAGTACCGTCAGCGAAGCTTGCACACGTTAGTTCGCGTGACAAAGTATTAGATGGAAAAATCGTGGAATGTGTATGCGTGCCAGGTGTTGGTTGGAAGGTTTTACGTGTACGCACTGATAAGACAGAACCGAATTATCATAAGTCAGGGATCGGTAAGTGTAAAAGATTCTAATTACCAATAAAGGTGTTAAATAAAAATCATTTCAAGTGTTGGTTTGTAGGGATTTGATTGGTTACAGGATTTTCATTATGAGCTGACATTAGTTAGAGAACCATTGGAAAACCTGAGAGTACTGGACAGCTGTTTCGTCCTAGTTTGGGACTCTTCAGCAGTACGCACCCACCGGGAGTCGAACCCAGGACCTTCTAGTTTACAAGGTGAGCTCGTATACTCACACTTAAATATCAATGAGATGCTCACTAGCGACTTGCCCTATTCAGGTAGGGTTCTAGTGAGAAGTCGTGACCAGTAGGTTGCAACAGGTCGGGTGTGAGGACAAATACTCGCCGAAGACATTGGCTAGGGTTCGCGCTATGTCGTGAATTGGCAGAAGTTAGAATTCATGGGCTGGTCCCAGTGGCTGAATGGTGTGCGAGCTCGCCTTGTAACCAGAAGGTCCTGGGTTCGAACCCTGGCGGTGGGTGCTGAAGAGTTCCAAACTAGGACGAAACAGCTGTCCAGTACTCTCAGGTTTTCCAATGGTTCTCTAACTAATGTCAGCTCATGATGAAAATCCTGTGAAAAATCATTTCATCTCTATCATAAGGGTCAGTCAACCCAGTCAGCAATTTCCTCCGAATGAACCATTATACCCTTACATTGTAGACCTACAGTGCATCCTGTCGCACCAAAACTATAAATGCTAAACGAAATGCGGCATTTATGCACACAGGTCAATTCAACACATCTTTTCATATTCCATATATACACAAGTGGTGACATGGCTGGATGGTTTAGATACTCGACGTTTAACCAGTGAGTCGCAGATAAAAACACTCTCCTGCATATTGAGGTTTAAACAACGAGATAGTACCAGCAGTTTTGATATAAAAGGCATGATTCATTTTGCGTGATATTTTATGTAAGAAACTTGTCTGCTTGAATTGATTCTGTGTATGCCGCGAATGTTTTCATAAATATGTTCTATCTTATCTTTCCAACTCTATCTTAGCTATTATTGAAAGCATTATGTGTCCAGTAACGGTGGAACAACTGGTTATGTGCATACGACAACGTCAGAATAAAGCAAATCAGCAACAGGCTTCGTCGTCTCGAGGGACCTCAGCGTCACAACACAAATGATATCAGACTGATTTTATGTAATTAAATGTGCCCTCTGGGTTCAGTCATGTACATATAAATATTTTATGAAAAACAACAAAGAATTCTTTGAAAATTTCTGTTTATATCAAGTTAATAAGTAAAAATGTAGGTTGTTTACATTCTTTGCGTCTTTGGTTTCATATCACTGGTCGAGGAATGTAATAAGTCGGTCTAGACGCTGCTGGTGTTGAAACTGGGTTCATCGACGTTCTTACCAAAGATTGTACGTCTAGACAAATACGATATGCTCCAACAAGTACAAATGTATCGCATAATGAGTCCTGAAGTTGATAAAAATGAGAATATTACTGTTCAGTTATACTTTACCATCGCTAGTGTGTACTGTGTGATTTGTTTTCTACATATGTTTCTAATAATTCAAAAAGTTGCACGAATACAATAATATAATAATAATAAATTGTTTTCCACAAACAATTACTTCTTTATATTCAGATGTTTATGGAATGCTGCTTTTTGAGGAAGTGTTCCGGAACTTTCTTCTGAATATTGTAGGATTTAAACTCTAAAGTTCATCTCAACAGATTTAAAAAGAAATGTACATATTTAACTATCAACTGTTATAATGCTTAACTAACAGTAAACAAAAAATATCCCTTCTTTTACTTGGATATTTCAACTACTGTGCATACTACTTCTAGAGTTTACAGAAATAGTTTTACTTTGAAAGCACTGGTTAATACATATTCAACAGCAGTAAAAAGATATCGTACTTGTATAAGATTTAAAGTAGAGAACAACTAACCTGGATTGTTTCAGCATTTGAAGAGTTTTGTGCACGCAACTCCAAACACAGTGTATTGAAAACACCTCTTCGGATAACTGTTGATACTGAAAACACGCTCATCCCCGAACATTCAGACGACAGGGGTATACGAGTGCAATGTTTGCTTGTCCCATTAAAAGTCAGTGATACAGCTTCCAATGTAGGTCCAGTGAGCCAACAGGAAACATGATTATCCTTAAGGAGAAAGAGCGTGTGTAACTAATCAAAAAGTTATATTCTTCAAAAAAATAGGATACAATTTATTTCAGGTTAGACTACGGATTAATATCAGTTTCGTCCTAATTTGGGGCTCACCTGCAGTACGCACCCACTGGGTTTCGAATCCCAGGACCTTCCGGTTACATGACAAGCTCGTATACCATCCAGCCACTGGGATCGGATTCAATGGCCCATGAGTTCTAACTTCTACCAATTCGTGATTTTAGCGCGACCATCAACCAATGTCACCGGTGGGAACTCCATCCTCACTCCCGACTGGGTGGACCCCACTGGTCACTTCCCACTAGAACAATTTATTTTTGTAGAAGTGATAAATAAGCTGGGAAAGTTACTTAAAAAGTGTTTTTTTAGATGTTTTCTTTTCATCAAAATATTTCTGATCTCAGAAACTAGAAAACGGTGAGTTTGTCATAAATAAGAAACAATTTTCCCTCTTGAGAAAGTATATAATTGTGCCACGGGAAATAAAAACATAGATTTTAGAGGAAAGTCATGTATTCAAAATGGAATAAAAGATGTCATGGTGTGGTGAGAGCTGGCTGCTAGGCAAATTGGTAGACAGTAATTTACGTCAATGTTTACGTCCCCAATATTGGTCGTGAGAAAAATAAGAACAAAGACTAATTCAACAACCAACCACAGCAGACTTTGCGTAGGCTGATACAATTTGCAGATAGATAATCTGAACTTCAATAAACGGCCACAAAGAGATGAAAGATTAACGTTCAACGAGAAACCACAATAATCTATAATAATGTACATGAAAATCTATAAATATCTGTTGATTTCCTAAATAAACAATCTGTTGTCTAGCCCTTGTCTTCTGTTGTTACAATGGTATAGTATGAACATGTGCATATAGTCGAGCTCCTCTAGGTAGATTGCTAAGAACGCGGTAAATAACTGGGAACACCGCTCAGGTCTTACACCAAGTGAGCTAAGACAGAACTATTTTCGTATTTGGTTACCCCTTTACTCAGCTATACAGGTACATGTTCACCTGCGCGCATGGATAAAGCCATCTGGGTACGGCCAATGTAACTAGCTCAACATGAGTAGTTGAATTCATAAATGCTGTCTGTCTGTTTCCAACATAGAACTTTGCACCGATGTGCAGCAGTTCAAGTCGCCACACCACTCAGCACACAAAGCAAGAGAAGAAATGCAAAATAGAGACATAGACAGGGATATGAGACAATTCACAGATGCAATCTTTTGTAATTTATCCTTGACTCGGTGTGAGAACTGGTTTAGTGGAGAAACTGAGTACCAGTTTAGCTGCAGGAAATGTTATTTTTACTGCTCCATTACGCCGACATTTTAGAATATCATCTTAATCTCCCCTGTGTAACTTAAGATGCAAAGGCTTCTTATCTACGGTATTCATCGTTATCCTATCTCTAGTATCTATATACTTTAAGTTTAATTTACATATCTCTTCCTTAATGCATTCCATTGTACATATGCGTTTTATTCTATAACTAAGACACTTAACTAAGCTCCTGTTGTATTGAAGCGGTGTGAAGATATGAGTATGGGTGTAGTAACCTGTCCAAGTCTTCTTTCTCAATAGGTTTCTTTGTAGATATCCATCTGTCTTCTTGGTGAGGAGGATGTCTTGGAAGGATATACTGTTGTTTTCTTCTTCCTCACATATAAAATGAATAGCTAGGTGAACATTATTAATAGCATTTAGCTCTTGTTTATTGAGATTTCTATCGTAAACGATAAAGGTATCATCCACGTATTGACAATAATAGTCAAACCCCTTAATCGTGTCTTTAAAAGTGGACTATTTTTAGGTTTTGCAAAGAAAATATCCGCCCGCATAGGATCCAGAGGAAAGCACATCGCAACTCCACCAACGTATCTATAAAAATCACTGTTGAGCATAAACTTTACACTCATTGTGCATTTCAACAGTTATTCCTTGACTTTTCAGGTGGGATTCATACATCTGTCTTTCATTCTGTTAGTTGATAACATAAATAGTTAACTGTATTAAGGCACGTTGGTGAATAATGAAGTTGCATCGAGTGACATTATTTCCTTTCCCTTTACGTCCACGTTTTCGGCAGTTTCTACAAAGCTAGTATATACCCTAATATTGAATAATTCTCGAATTGGGTTGTTGAGTTGAAAGATGTGGTACAATTCATGACAGGACGAGCAATTTATGGATGATGGCGACTGCTTCTCCGTAAATACGAGGAAAATTACCAATTTTTGTGATAGGAGGATGGAGTGTGTTCAGTCAACCTTTTAGGACAATTTGGATGCCTACCAGTTAACAAAGACCTTTACTGAATACTAATAATCATTTTCCCGCTAATCTAAAAATTAACCACTACACACATGTCCAAGTCATTTGAATTTTGGGAATATGTACAACTAGCTGGTGAAATGAGTGTTTTACGGCAAAGAAACATAATTTTACAATGAGGACGTACAAATAATTGAGCTCGAACAATGTAGACAAAAATTAATTCATCAGATGGTGTTGATCTCTGAGACGATTCTTTATCCGTAGATTGTGTACTGCGTGCACCATAATATGGAGGTGTTTTAAAATAAACAGTAAAATTATCGATTTCTGATGGAGAAATAAGCTGAACTGGAAACAAACTCGAGGACACTGTATCTGGTAGATGTCCCGGTTGTACTAAAGTCAGATGATTTGGTAAAGTCATCGATACTATTTCCACCAAAGCCTTGTCAATCCTAGATAAAATAGATTGATCATTATAAAAAAATATGCTTTGCGTTTAATCGCAATATTCGGAAGTAAATAGAATATAAATGTACAACTAAAAACTTTCGCAATGATAACATTAATCAGAATTCCACTAGAAAACTTTTTTCCACAGTGACGAACAAGAGAACAACTTCGATTCTAATAGCGTAATTATTTTATTCCATAGGTTTCACACGTCTTTTGATTTCTTTCCAAGAAAAGCTCACTTTCATGCGAAGACAGTTATAAATACAAATGGAATGCCGATCTTTTTGTAGCGAAAACGCATCTATAAAGAGACTACTCCTGACTAAAATAGTTTCGTTCTTCCTCTCTTTTTTTATTGTAGCTTGACTCCACACAGTATTTTTGACACAAGTATGGAATTCTCAGCATGTGATATCGGTAGCCCAAATTTAGCAGGCCGACCATGGTATCAGGTGTGCGTCGGCCGAGGATCGAACCCCGGACCATGTGCATGGTCGGCGAGCCTCCTAAACGCTATGCCAATCGACACACTTATTACTTAGACTTATCACATGCAATCCACACCACCAAATATATCGGTACTACAGTTATTGAAATTAGTAGTCTGGAATGAAATCTCACAGACGACACGACCTATATTAATATAAGAATAGAACCTAGGCACTGGTAGAATATAATCTCATCGTAGAGTAAATGTATTTGATAAAAGCGTACAGTGATACAGTGCCATTTACTGATGATGTCTCGAGCACAATTTATTACTCGTAACCATATCAAGGTATTCATATAACTTTTTAACTCGGTTTATATAATTCCACTGTTATTTATCCTTTAATTTTATTGGTAGTAATGTTTGCCATATCTCTTTTATTGGCGTCGAGTTATTCCTATTGCATGTGTTAAGTACAATTCCAACTATTTATATTACTTTTTAGAACTGTAGTTCTTTCCCATCCTATTGTGTTAATGCATGCATTGCCATTGTTGAGTTTCCCTCTAAACTATTCACCTTCGTGGGGTCAATCATTCTACACTTGGCTAAATTCTTATGTTCCGATAATCGAACTACCCCTAATCTAGTGGTGTGGCCTATATAGCTGACCTCACATTATTTTGTCTAATTGGGTCCTTTAGCCTACAGAACTTGTCTCAGAGTCAGTTTGTAGATTTAAGTGCCACTCTAATTCCTCCTTCATTGAGAATTTCTCCTATGTGGTGAAACTGTAGATGCCTTAAATTCTTTCTTATTTATGTTGTCAAGATTATTTCCACCACTACTTTTCTTTACCTTGTGAGCTTTTTTTATCTTAATGAATTTAATGGAATAGTTACTTAGCACCAATGCTTCTTAAATCTGTTTCATTTCATTAATTCGGTTTTCTGATTGCTACTTGGAGTTTTCCATCGATTTGTTAGACACTTAACTAAGCCTTCTACATTAGATAAGTTCATATATATATATATATATAATCCTTTCTCTCTCCTTGCTATTTGTTGCAATTATCCATATCTCCGGTATAGTTGTTGCATCATTTCGACTGAATGTGTTCGGTGTCAATTCAACAAAAAACGATCCAGTGATTAACTTCTCTCTCCACCTAATTATATTACTTTTTAATACCTTCACTCTGTCCTATTCTATTGGGTGATTACATACAAGTGAATGCAATACAATGGCCGAGGTTTTTTCTAGGCCATTTGACTAGCTATATTTTTATGTTCCAATCATCTAATTTATCCCGATATACTTGTTTGACCTATGTAATTGACCTCACAGGCATTACATGTTACTTGGTAAATTACACTATTTTTCTTAAATGAATCTAGCGGGTCCATAAACTGACAAATTTTACCTCTGAGAGAGTTGGTTGGTTTAAATGCCAACTTAATTCCAGTCTCATTAAGAACCTTACTTAAGGCTTCTAATGTTCCTTCTTTAGACGGCAGTACTACGAAGGCTGTGAATTCCATACTATTTATGTTATTTCCACCATTTTCATGACTAATCATGTTTTTTTATGTGTCTTTAGACATTTATGAATAAATTGTAGTGGGTAGTTATTCACTAGTAATACTAGTAATACAAGAACAACAACAACAGACAACGATCAGCATAAATGGGAGGAACCTGAAAGAAACAACCTCTTTTATCTACCTGGGAAGCATCGTTTCAACTACAGGCGGAACTGACGAGGTTATCAAAGCAAGAGGTTCGGGAAAGCAAGACAAGCTTTCACTACTCTCAAGTCTGTGTGGAGGTCAACAGCACTCAGCATCAAAAATAAGATCCGGATTTTCAACTCCAATGTGAAGTCAGTGCTACTATACGGATCAGAGACTTGGCGCGTCATAAAGAGCATCTCAAACAAACTACAGACCTTCATTAACAGTTGTGTTCACTCAATACTCAAGATCAGATGGCCAGAAAAGATCAGCAACAGAGATCTTTGGGAGCAAACCAACCAGGAACCGATTGTGAAACAAATGGGCAGGAAGAAATAGAGATGGATTGGCCATACTCTGAGGAAACTATCAAGTGACATCACTAGACAAGCCATTGCTCGAGTGGAACCCGAAAGGGAAGCGGCGAGTTGGTCGTCCAAGGGTGACTTGGAGGAGGTCATGTGACGAGGAGATGAAAGCATGTGGGCAGACTTGGAGCCAGGTGAAGACTCTAGCAGAGAACCGAACGCAATGGAGACGCACGGCTGAAGCCCTATGTTCCTCTAGGAATTAAAGGAAACAATAATAATAAATAATACTTTCCTTATTTGTTTGGTTTCATTATTTAAATCTTCTGGCTAACTGGTTAGGCTCCTGGTCCGATTATTATATGGACATTTAAAGCACACTATCTTTATCGATTCCGAATAGGATGTATTAAAGTCTAAGTATTTACTAGAGTGTGACGGTTTCCTATAAATACTGGTATATAATCCACCATATTGTTTCTGTTTCATTTTACAGTCAAGGACAGCTCACCTTATTCCTATTCCCACTTAAAAGAGAATTCAATTCCATCTAATATTGCGTTCATATATATGAAGGACTGAGGGATATGTTCCGATTTCAACACAGTGAATATGTTATCTGAACATACCACTCGGTTATACACATATATATGGTGTTACACACATAAACATATAGTGTTATGTTTATTTAATCGGATTTTTATCCGTTAAGTAGACTCTTTTCATTGTCAAAGACTAACTTAATTTCCATTACCCTAAGTGATGTAAATCCCGTGTTTTAATATTCAGTTACAGTCACATATGGAAATCATTTTCCTTCTGGCCTTTGCAACTTTTATTGGTTATAAAAGGCAAATTTTTAACTTGAATTACTTACTCAATTGATCTCCTTAAGATATCTTGCTCTATGGCGGGTTGATACAGTTGACGGGCTATGTGTAAAGGTGATACGAAAACATTATGTCCATTTGACGGCAAGCGATTAGGATTGGCCCCATAGCTTAAAAGAAGCCGTGCACACTGAACCCATCCACGTCGTGTCGCCTGAAATCAGATTGAATAAAATATTCGTGTTTAACTACTGATAAGATTCTAAACAGAAAAAAAGAGATCATACGCATGTTTATCAATAAATCTAAAATAGCTTACACGTGTAAGTGCAGATTCTCCATGAAAGTTAATAACATTTAGCGCTGCACCTGCATTTAACAACAGCGATAAAACAGCCAGATGACCCTAGACAATATGTAGGAAGGAAAAACAACACTTCAGTATGGATAAATTCACAAGTAAATATACAAATCAATATCGAATCAATATTTACTCACAATAAGCAGAACAATGAACAGATCCGGGACTCACGTATCATCCAGGATTTCACGTTTTATCAAATATATCATCAGCATCATCAAGAGACACACATATATCACAGGTTTCAATTAAACAATCAATAGCTTTCAATCCAGAAAGTACCTCATGTATGTTAGCTACATGCTGTCTAGGTGCTTCTATTTGTGTCAAAAAGAAAATATTAAGTTTAGAAAGTTTATTTCTCAATCTGATTACTTTTTTAGTATGCCAATATACGCTCCAGTGAAACAACGACCGCTCACATGATGTATACATTAACGAATACGCAATAAATCATCGATACATTATACGAAACAACTACAGGAAGAATATAGCTGATTACTTTTTAAGAATTACTGTCCGATTCATTGACACATGCTAAACTCCACCTAACCCTCACGTCTATAATTTTAAGTTGACACAGCAAAACGAAAAAGTTAAATAATAGATTAAGAAAAGAGGAACGAGATACAAATATTTCATTGTTAACAGTGTATCTTATCCTTAAATAATTGGAACAGATCTTGGTAACTGTAAATTAACCATATGTTGTGGATGTATCCACTCTTGACCGATCTGTAAACTTCATTCATTATTGAATGACTACTTGTTTTCTAACCAATTTATTTAGTGTAATATTAGTCTCATTTAGCTTTCCTCTAAGTAGACAGTGATAAAAGCGATTCAACTACAAACACACAAAATCAAATATCTTACACCATCTGCAGCATATATTAGCGCAGTAGAACCTTCATTCGACTGTGCATTTACACGTGCACCATGTCTGATAAGTAGACCGGTTATATCTGCATAACCTGAAAGAAACAGATAATAAAGAATTATTTGTACGGAAATAGAATGATATCGAAGTAACGGACGAATCACGATAAATTTCAACATTTGAAATATTAGCAAACTCCATAAAACAATTTTCTCATCGATTTCCAGGGGGAATGGATTATTTTGACGAAATAACATCGCAAAAACAAAATGTATTTCGTCGTATCTTTAGATTATACAAGTTTGTGACAACCCAATGAGAAGTCGACTCAAACGGACTATCCCCGTACCATTACGCAGTTGGTTTAGACTTTACTCAGTATTTCAGTATTTGTAAATTACGGTATCCAGTGGTTTTGTATTTAACTTCGATTATTGACGAATACCACCTAAACTTCAAATAAAAATGATCTATCTGGCAGTGTAATCAAATTTTTTACATAAAACTTGGAAAAAGTTGAGTGTTTAATGAACACCGTGAGTACAAATATGAATAATTCTTATAACTGATAAACAAGATTTGATTGCAGTTAATCTCTCAGTAAGATTATTGTACATTATATATAATCTTACTCTTAGGGATTCATGAAAAACACAGGACGTAGCGCAGCTAAGCAACTCCTAAGCTCCCCAACTTTATACTACTATAACAAAGTGATAATATGAAGGTAAATGGTTTTTCGATACTGTTTTGTTCTCTGAGCTGGATGATTTAATTACGAAGCTTCCATTAGCCTTCTAGACAACATATTTAGTGCTAACTTCTGCATGAAGGTTGATGAAAATATGTTATCAGAAGCCAGAAATAACCATGATACAAGGAATATAAATGAAGACATATTCGACATAAAAAGTAATTAAAATTAGATATGACGCCAATACCGCGACTCATTTTGAGTTATATGATTCTCTAGCCATCATTTACATTTGTTTTTCTTATAAGAATCGGTAAGTTTACACTTCCTTACTTCCGAACCAATAGTTAAAGTAGGTTTGCTTAATGGTATTATACCTGATTAACCGTGTGGGACTGTGGTTCATTAGTCTAGACGCTCGACATTTAACTAGTAGGTCACGCGTTCGAACGCCGAAACACCTAACGAAGTTTGGACAGTCACGTGGTATCTCTAGCTCCCACACGATATGTATGACTCATTGCTGTCTGTATGGGATTGCTATTGGTTTTTGAGTAACAGTCATTCATTTATCTGACTTATTAACTTCCATGTAATGCTACTTTATGTAACACGATCCATGTTCGAAGGTATATATATAATGATGCTACAGATATTTCCGGTTACCTTCTATTTATGTCACAACCTCCAATTACGTTATTTCTGCCTTTAACTTAGGTCTTAGAAATAGTTGGTCGGTCGGTCGGTTTTCGACATAGAACTTTGCACATATGTGCGGCAGTTCAAGTCGCCACAATCTATGTAGCACGCAAAGCAAGAGAAGGAAGTAGAAGAAATGCATAATATAGACAGTAAACAGAGGTGTGAGACAAAGGAATAGTAATAACGGAGAACAAAACAGTTTAATTGGAAATCATAAGTCACAAGGAGTGGATGCATCTGCGCCACTGAGAACGATTTTGAGCCATGTCACCAATTGTTTCCAACCATTGGTTTTTACCGTCCCGAGGACCCCAACCAGGAAGTCTACATCTTCCTACGTGGCTTAGATTAACTGTTGTAGATTTCATTGATTGGTGCCATGTTTTCGTTTGACCACCGCTTGCTCTTTTCCAGCCTGGCCCTATATCAGCTAACATTGCCCGTCGAGGAAGGCGATGACTAGGCGTACGTAGCACATGTCCTAACCATCTCAGTCGAAGTAATTTCACCGTTTCGTCGATTGATTTCCCCGCCTTACCTAGCACTCGACGCCTAACCTCAATATTGCTCACCTTATTATACCACTTCGCGCGGGAGATAGAACGCAGACACCTATGATCGAAGACAGCTAATCTTTTCATGTCTTCTGCTCTCAATGGCCAGGTCTCACATCGTACTTCTAGGGATCAGTCCTATAGTACGTTAGAAATAGTTGAATAAAGTCTGAAGGATGATTGTTGAGTGACGTGCTTCCCTTGAGTCCCTTCTTTAATATTTTAGGTCTACTCAAATTCATGAAGCGATTAGTTGAAGTAAGGAGTGATCGATTAAGTAGGTAGTAAAGAATTAATTCTCAGGAAGGATGACCAATTACCAATCAGTTGCCATACAGATTACCACACTGTGGTGGTTTTCAATAATCCTGACTGCATTTTACCTAGATTATTTGGAATGTTATGAAACTAAATCAATGAAATTTTACATATTTAACTTTTACGCCTTTTAAGAACTCTTTACACACACGTTAATTTGATTAAAAATCAAATATAGAAACCAAGGTATAGTTAACGTTTGTAACCTACGAATTCAGTGCTTACGAAATGCTGGAAACACCCAGCTAAACTTTTTAGGAACACTTAGGGAAAGCCGAAGTAAATTACGGTGGAAATTGTAAACATTGTAACTACTTCAAAAAGTAGATCAACACAAGCCGATCGTGCGTATATGAACCTACATATTTACTTCACTTACTACTGATTGCTACCATGTAAAATACATTAAACTAGTTGTTTGGTAGTGTACAACAGCTGACGTATTTTGTCATATAGGAATCCCATTTGCGCTTGCCAACACAGTCTGACAAATATTTATAGCCAAATATGTTTTAATTACTACTACAATACAAAACGAAGTATTTGAGCAATCAGTTCAACAGACTTTACCGTAAATATTCTTTGACAGAAGGTTACTTTCACAAACGTTTATCATAAATAAATGTGCGAAAAGATTACCCTGACAAGACATGAACACAAAAACAAAAGAATCAAGCCGTACAAACCTTTTCCAGCTGCTATACAAATAAGAGGCATATCAACTTCATTGTCACTTAGTGGTGTACATAAAGACTTCAGCAGTCTATGAACATTATCAGAATCCCCAGACGAAACGGCATATCTCAAGTGTTTCACTGTGTTTTATTATAAATGTTCAAATAGCTTACTGCCATCAGACACTGGTACCTTTGAGCACTGATTATTTCGCTAAAAGGTAAAACCAATAATGAACTTGACAAACATAATTTTTAATTTCCTAAACAGAAAAGAAAATTACTGTTTAGCTAAGCTCTAACGAGTAAAAATATACCTAAATAATGTTTCGGAAGATAATAATCAGTTTTGTACAGGAAAATCTTTAGAGCGTGACTTTCAAAAAGATAGTTCAAAATGGCCTGCAAGAGCAATTCAAGTATTTCTGGATGAACACTACAATTTCTGGTTTCTCCAGTGACCTTAAATATCAACAGAATGGGGACATTTATTATGATGCTTCATTTGTTACTCTGTAAGACTTATTATTAGCAAAAAATGAAATCAGCCATACGATGTTTTTACAAGTAGCCTGATGAAAGTATGATTAATTATCTTGACAGTTGTTCCAGGAGTGTATGAACAGATTTTAAGAAACCATCATTTCCACCCAAACTCTCATATTCTAATTGACTCCTGTATTTATCACTGTTTCTACGTTGGACTGATGAAAAAAAGTTTTTATCTGTGAATTTCATTAACCCTTTAGATGATTTCGATAGCCTACCGCTCATCCACCTAAAACATAAAGCTTAAATATATTTTCGACTAATTATAAAAATGAAGGAACGAAAACGGAGGTAATAATAGGACGGATGTGATCAAGTTACTCTCCGTAATTAAACATGGAAGGGCTCCAATTAAGAGGTGTGTTCAATCCTTTCAATTTCTTCATGGTCGTTTCAAGCATAAGGCTGCAGTCTTATCATGCCACATCTTCAGATCAAAATATGCATTTCACCATCACACAAATTGCCGAAATGCTCTATACGTTTTTATTCAATAGATTTCATGTACTACAGAAAGAGAACTAAGCATTTTTAGTTGGTTCTTCACTGCAAATGGCTTTTATACAGACATTTTATGGGTGGGTGCATGTAGAGAAATTCAACAAGACTTTAGAATTAGCTAGACGACAAAAGATAGTTTACAAATAACTATTTGCTCAGATTAAAATGTAAGAAAAATAACTAACCAGCTCCTGACGTGCAACACCAAGACTTGCACAAATAGGTGTGGACAGTAGGCAAGATATAACTGCAACAATAATTTTTAATGTTTACTATTTACGTGGAGATTGTTCAATCATTCTTTAATAAAATATAAATACACTCCAAGGATTTCGCAACCACCAATACAGTATGTGCTATAACCGTATTAAGTACTTATTGTATGTAAAGCACCCGAAGTGTTTAGTCTTTACAGCCTTTAGACAGTGGACTGTTAAAAAGAAGTCTGAAGATCAACAGCGTGAAATCCTACAAAAAAGAGAAAAAGATTGCCCTACTAATATCAACAAAAGCATAAACGGTTAACAATAAACAAACTTTGCGGAAGCTAAGAAACAATTTACTATTTACTTATATATTTACGAATATAAGAGGCGTGACTTTTATATTTATGCAATTGCATCATTGTCAGAGTTCTGCTTTAAGTGTTCGCAAACTGATACGGTCCCTCTTTCCTCTGGAAATTGGTGATAAAGCTGACTTCCTTGTGATGGAATTGTTTGAGTAGTAATATTATGTTCACTAAAAACAGCGGAACAGAAGCATACGCATACCGTAATCCTGTGAACTTCCCAAGAAAATCTCATCATATGAATTCCAGTGTGTGAAGACAATGGACTAAGAAGCAGGGTTGGACAATGTTATTACACTGAATGAAGGTAATGTAGAAACCATTTAAGAATTATATATAAACCACAGGTACTACCTTAACCGTAGCATTAAACCAATACTGTAGTGGTAGTCCATAGGAGATCCAGGTTTGTAGCTATACCGCAGAGGTACAAAGCTTCAGGCTCATATGAACCGTATCAGTTTTCAAGTTATTCACCTCCACTTAATGCAGACATTTAAAAGCGGGCGTATGATCACAGGTCCTTAGATGGACAAGTGGCACTCTAGTGGCACTTGAACAGCTTACATGACCTCACGGTGCAATATATTGATTTCTCTTTCCAACTGTAATGAGTAATTACTTAATTAAATAACTTTATACAAACTTCCAATACTCAATTAGCCGTTGATCGTGTGAAGAGCCACAACATTGATTATTCCAAACACATCATTGATGTTTACAAATTCGTATACACAAATACACTCAATGATACTGATATAAAAGGTGGATTTTGTGTGCTACATGGAGTGTGGCGACTCGAACTGCCGCACATATGTGCAAAGTTCTATGTCGAAAAGACAGACATTTTAACTTGAAGTCCAGTGGTCTTCTATAACCAGTATGAAGCTGAATGAAAGGTGTAATTATTTTTGAATAACTTGTATCTTGTATTGCATGAGAAATTACTGGCCTCCGTAAAAGTGGAACGTTACAAAAGGAATGGAGGAACGTATATTTGCTTCAACAAAATGCTTTTAATGAACTATTCGTAGTCATTGCCAAGTATGACACAGAACTAGCAGTCCAATGTAGAGATTTCAAACATATGCAAAACTTAATACGTGCAGGGGGATTTATTCCAGAAAGCATCCACACATACTTGAAAAGTCAAACAATTCATTCTCGTCCGGAAACAATCAACATTGAGTCACTTGCAAATGACTCTTATTTGTTAACTTTTAAGTGAAAATCTAGGGTTTGACACTTCTAATCTTCGCTCTAGAATACATTAACGAAGTCACCACAAGATACTAAAACAGGTCGAATAAAATACGTGGAATTTAGATTCCTTCAATAAGTGGTCAACGACTGGAACTCCCTATCTGGTTCAATAGTAACAGCTCCATCGTTGAACGCTTTCAAAGAGAAATTAGATCTCCGCAGAGGTATATACTGCAAGGAATAACACAGGCAACAAGAGCCTCCTATCCTTATAATCTGAATCCACTTAAATAAGAGCATTCAAAATATATGGAACCTCGCCTAGATTACTAGGTCACTAGTATTCTAGCCGGTCCCAAGCCCGGATAAAGAGGGAGGGTTGGGGCGTGGTGCTAGCAACTCCACCCCCAAAACTTAACCAAATTGCTACGAAAACTTCAACGCACAAATATATTTTAAATTCTAAAAATACAAACAATAACCTTATTTTTCGCTGGAATCGGGGAAGTGAAATGACGCAGGCTGGTGAAAGCCTTCGGGAAGCCAGTCAGCCGATGTGCCTTCTTTCGATGAAAGCAAAAATAAGGATGGGGACGTGGAATATTCGTACAATGTACGAAACTGGAAAGGCTGCTCAGGTAGCCTCAGAAATGAGGAGATATAAAGTAGAAGTGTTGGGAATCTGCGAGAGCAGATGGAACGGATGCGGAAGGTGCCAACTACCAACTGGAGAGACAATAATCTACTCCGGTCACCCAGAGGACAATCACGAGCACACCGAGGGAGTAGCCATCATGATGTCACCAACAGCGGCTAAAGCTCTCATGCAGTGGGAACCAATCTCCTCCAGGATAATGACAGCCAGGTTCAACTCAAAAGGAAGGAAGGTTACAATCATTCAATGCTACGCACCTACAAACGTCTCAGAAAAAGAGAAGAAGGAGGATTTCTACAGTCAACTACAAACAGTAATGGACAACGTCCCAAAGAGCGATATCAAAATCCTGATGGGTGATATGAATGCGAAACTGGGAGGAGACAATACAGGAAGAGAACTCACCATGGGTCGCGAGGCCCTCGGTGAAATGAACGACAATGGTGAACTCTTCTCAGACTTCTGCGCCTTCAATGATTTGGTGATTGGTGGCAGTGTGTTCAAACACAGGGATATACACAAGGCAACATGGATTTCACCAGATGGACACACCAAAAACCAGATAGACTTCATTTCAATCTCAAGGAAGTGGAGACGGAGCCTACTGGACACAAGATCGAGGAGAGGAGCAGATGTGGGTTCAGACCACTATCTAGTACAAGGGACTTTCAAGGTGAAGCTGAAAGCCTCGAGGATACCTGGGGATAGGCCACAATGCAAGTTCAACACGCAAAAACTGAAGGACACAATCACACAGGACATTTTCACTGCAACGGTCAGAGCAAAGCAGGAAACACTACGTGGCACCACTGAGGAATCATCCGTGGAAGACCATTGGAACTCTCTGAAGGTAATTTTCAACGAAACGTGTTCAACGGTTTTAGGAAGAAAGAAGAAACAAGACAAGGAATGGCTCTCAACGGACACTTGGAAGCTAATAGAGGAGAGGAGAATGGTGAAAGAGAAAATGATTCAATGCAAAGACGGACAAGAGAAGGAGACGCTGAGTTCAACTTACACAGCACTGGACAAAGAAGTGAAGAAGAGTGCCAGGAAGGACAAAAGACAATTCTACGACAACCTGGCTACTGAAGCTGAGAATGCAGCAGGCAAAAGGGACCTAAGGACACTATATCAGATAACCAAGTCTCTATCCGGGAAGAGATCAACACAAGTGAAACCTATAAAAGACAGCCAAGGGAACCCAATTACCAAAGAAGAAAGACAGATTAAACAATGGGCGGACCACTTCAAAGGACTCTTGAATAGACCACCACCTACAACCCGTCCAGAAATACCAACAACAGCACGTACACAACTGCAAGTTGACACCAATCCTCCAACGAAAACTGAAGTCATGAATGCAATCAAGCTTCTGAAAGCTGGAAAAGCAGCTGGACCAGATGGAATACCCCCGGAAGCACTGAAAGCGGACCCAGAAACGACAGCAGATATGCTGACTCCATTATTGCAAAAGATCTGGAAAGAGGGAAAGGTGCCTACTGACTGGAGGAAAGGTTACCTCGTGAAACTACCAAAGAAGGGCGACCTAGGACTATGCAAGAACTGGCGAGGAATCATGCTCCTGTCGACGCCAAGTAAAATCCTGAGTCGCATCATCCTGGAGAGAATAAAGGACGCACTGGATACAGAACTCCGACCAGAACAAGCTGGATTCAGGAAAGGCAAATCATGTTCTGACTAAATTGCAACTCTACGCATTATCATCGAACAAAGCATGAAATGGCAATCAAATCTCTACCTCAACTTTATAGACTTTGAGAAGGCCTTCGACAGCGTTGACCGCGAAGTAATTTGGAAACTACTCGAGTACTACGGCGTACCCAAAATATTCATCAACCTTATTCAACAGCTGTACGACAACGGCACATGCCAAGTGATCCACAACGGAAAACTCAGTGAGGCGTTTAAAGTAAACACAGGAGTCAGACAAGGGTGCTTATTATCACCAATGATATTCCTAATTGTGGTGGACTGGATTATGCGTCAGACAGTGGGAAACGAGAAGACAGGGATATCCTGGACCGACGTGAAGAACCTAGAAGACCTGGATTTCGCGTGTGGATGATTTATGTTTGATGTCACACAAAATCGAAGACTTACAAGCGAAAACCGACAAACTGGTCGAAGAAGCAGCAAAGACAGGACTCCAGGTGAACATAGACAACACGGAGGTTATGAAAATAACCAACCAACAACAACAACAGCAACATCCAGCGCCAATCACCATCAACGGGAGGGATTTGAAAGAGGTTACTTCATTCACTTATCTAGGGAGCATTGTCTCAACTACAGGAGGAACGGACGAGGATGTCAAATCGAGAATCGGGAAGGCGAGAAACACATTCATCAACCTGAAACCAATCTGGAAATCTTCGTCACTCAGCATCAACAACAAAATTCGGATTTTCAATAAAAACGTCAAGTCAGTTTTTCTATACGGATCAGAAACTTGGCGGGTCACAAAGAATATTTCCAACAGCCTGTTGCAGACCTTTATCAACAACTGTCTTCGCTCTATACTGAAGATCAGATGGCCGGAAAGAATCACCAACAAGAAACTATGGGAACAAACAAAACAAGAACCAATCGCTCAACAAATATGCAGGAGAAAGTGGAGATGGATTGGACACTCGCTGAGAAGGCCACTGGGTGACATCGCGCGTCAGGCCAACGCTCGAGTGGAACCCGAAAGGGAAGCGGCGAGTGGGACGTCCAAGGGTGACATGGAGGAGATCGTGTGAAGAGGAGCTGAAACAGTATGGACTAACATGGATGCAAGTGAAAAGTACAGCAGAAGACAGAAGCAAGTGGAGACGTGCAGTTGAAGCCCTTTGTTCCACTAGGAA